TTTTATTTTATTTTATTTATTTATTTTTTTTAAATTGAGTTAAGAGTCTCAATCTGTTGCCCAGGCTGGAGTGCAGTGGCAGGGTCTCGGCTCACTGCAACCTCTGCCTCCCAGGTTCAATTGATTCTCCTGCCTCAGCCTCTCGAGTAGCTGGGATTACAGGTGCATGCCACCACACCCAGCTAATATCTGTATTTTTAGTGGAGACAGGGTTTCCCCATATTGGCTAGACTGGTTTCTCTTTTGTTTCTTTCATTTCAAACAAGAGTAGAACTTTTAAGGTCTGTTTATTCACATGGAGGTAAATAAGTTATACATGTTGGACCTATTGAAAGAAGTAGGTCTACATAACAAATGGGGCAGTGGTTTACTGAAAAGAATATTGAGGCTGGGCACAGGCTCATGCATGTAATCCCAGCACTTTGGGAAGCCGAAGTAGGAGGATTGCTTGAGACCAGGAGTTCAAAACCAGCCTGGGCAACATAGCAAGACCTTGTCTCCACAAGAAGTAAAAAAATTAGCCAGGTGTGGTGGCATGTGCCTGTAGTCCTAGCTATTCAGGCAGCAGAGGCAGGAGGATCAGAGGATCATTTGAGCCCACAAAGCAGAGGTTGTAGTAAGCTGATATTGCACCACTGCACTTTAGCTAGGGTGACAGAGTGAGACTCCATCCTGGAAAAAAGATTAGAAGTCTGTCAGTGTGCCATTGTACAATTTATTGGTGGGGTGGTATCATTGGTAACAATACCATCTAAATATTTAATCCCTTTTAGCTTTTGAAGTAAGACTCGTGTTAGAGCTAGAATTCACCTGGGTGGGGTGGCTCATGCCTGTAATCTCAGCACTTTGGGTGGATCACTTGAGCCCAAGAATTCAAAACCAGCCTGCGCAACATAGCGAAACCCAGTCTCTACAAATATTTGTGTGTGTGTGTGTGTGTGTATACACACACACACGTGTGGTGGTATGTGCCTGTAGTCACAGCTATTTGGGAGGCCAACAAGGTGGGAGGATCACCTGAGCCCAGGAGGTCAAGACTGCAGTGAGTTGTGATTGTGCTGCGGTACTTCAGCCTGCGCAACAGAGTGAGACACTTTCTAATAAAACAAAACTCTAGACTTTAAGTACTAATAAGTTTGATATTTTGTTGTCATTGTACTGAAGAGGTTTAACTAAAATATGGACCTCTTCAAACAGTTATATCAAAGAGCAGAATGTGGAAGTTTTAACTTTTTTTGAGTTGCCAGCAGCTTTGAAAAATGCATATATGCACACAAATTTACTTAAAGCTTCTGCTTCTGAACCTCACCCATCAGTAGCTAACACTTATACTACAGTTAAGGTGCGTTTTTCTGTTGAGTAATGTTCTTGACAAGTCAGACCATTGTTCTAGAACCAGTGCAAATTGAATGGTGATCACTGTGAAACAAACACTGCATTTCTTTCATTATACCTTTCTTTGCCTAAACACTTCTAGTATAAATTCCGTTATTTTGATTTTCCCGAGTTAATTATATCAGTATCGTCTGGACATGGCTTGGCATCACTTAATGGGAGAAAGCACTGAATAAATACCACTATTAACATGGTGATGCAGCTAATACAGTGGAATTAAGCTACACTGATAAACTGAGTGATCAGAATGTGGAAGATCTGTTTCATGAGATGCCGGTTAAACCACAGCAGGATTTTTGTCTTCAACTCTGGATTCCATATTAACCAAAATGAATTAACTTGCCACAGTGTATCCAGAGGCAGAGACTAGGAGAACAAAGGGAAATAGAGCTAAGGTTCCTTGGAGAACAGTTGTGGGAACTGGGAAGATCAGAGCTGGGGATGGATATAAATTATGTGAATACCTATTTTCAGAACCTTTGAAAGCTATTAGAAAAGAGGATTTGGGTTGACTTCTGAGAGCAGAACTAGGACCAGTGGATGTGTTACAGGTGACAAGACCATTTTGCCATTTAAAACTTCCTAATGTGTAAGGGCTGTTTTCAGTCTCTGGCAGCTACACCTATAGCAGATCTTATGCACAGTCTTAAGTCCTAACTAGATTAATAACACCTTAAACTACTGAACTCTTTAATTCACTGTCACCTGATGTTCGGAGTTCAATAAAAAATAACAAGACATGCTAAAAGTCAAGAAACAGTCTGAAGAGAGAAAACAAGCATCAGAACCAGACTTATATGTGACACAAATTTAAAAATGATCAGACCAAAAATTTAAAGTAATTGAAATGTTAAGGGGTCTAACAGAAAAAGTACATACCATGCAAGAACAGTTGGGTAGCCGGGCGCGGTGGCTCAAGCCTGTAATCCCAGCACTTTGGGAGGCTGAGGCGGGTGGATCACGAGGTCAAGAGATTGAGACCATCCTGGTCAACATGGTGAAACCCCGTCTCTACTAAAAATACTAAAAATTAGCTGGGCATGGTGGCGTGTGCCTGTAATCCCAGCTACTCAGGAGGCTGAGGCAGGAGAATTGCCTGAACCCAGGAGGCGGAGGTTGCGGTGAGCCGAGATCGCGCCATTGCACTCCAGCCTGGGCAACAAGAGCAAAACTCCATCTCAAAAAAAAAAAAAAAAAAGAACAGTTGGGTAATAAAGTAGAGAGGTGGAAATGCCCAGAAAAAAATCAAAAGCAAATGCTGGGGGGGTGGGGGGGGGGCGGGAATCCCAACACTTGGGGAGGCCTAGGTGGGAGGATCACTTAAGCCCAAGAGGGGAAGGCTGCAATGAGCTGTGATTGTGCCACTGCACTCCAGCATGGGTGACAGAGTGAGACTGTCAAAATAAATTAAGAATGTCTTTAATGGGCAGTTCAGCAGACCAGACACTGCCAAGGAAGCAAGTAAGTAGTGAACTTGAAGACTAGGTCTATAGAAACTTCCCAAACTGAAATGCAAAGTGAAAAAAGAATGGAAAAGAAGTCCGCACAAATAAACAGAACAGCCAAGAATTGTGGGACCATTTGGAAATATATAATGTACATGGGTTTGGAATACTGGAAAGTAAGAGAATGAAGCGGAGTAAATATTTGAAGTAAAAATGGCCAAGAATTTTAAAAATTAGTGACAGACACCCAACCACCAAGCCAGGAAACTCAGAGAACAAGCAGGATACCAAAATGCCTACAATCTCTACTTCAGCATGCTATGTTCAAAGTGCAGAAAACAAAAAGTGAAAACCTTGAAAAAAGCCAGAGGCAGAATCACCTTACCTATAGAGCAACAAAAATAAGAATCATAATGAACTTCTCAGCAGAACCATGCATGCAAGAAGATAGTGAGATGATAGGTGTTGAAAAAATAAAATCCACCAACTTAGAATTCTATATGCAATGAGATTCTTCAAAAGTGAAAGGCAAACTAGTGAGTTTGCTGTTGCTGGAGGTGATCAAAAACAGGTTGAATGAAAAGAACAAGAAATGTTGTGTCCAACATTTGCCTAACTCTATTTGATACATAAACTTAGCTCTGGAAGGTGGTAGTTAAATGCTCAGCAAAAATGTATTTCAGTGATTTTTAGGAATGTTGCAAACCAGATTGTACTAGTGGAACTTCACTCTGCTCAGATACTGAGGATCTGAGCAGGCCTATAGCAGAGAACCCTGTTTTTGCTTACAAACATAAGCCCAGAATCTCTGACTTTCGGCCTGCTTGTTAAAACCTTATGGATAGCCATGTGTGGTGGCACATGCCTGTAGTCCCAGCTACTTGGGAGGCTGAAGCAAGAGAATAGTTTGAACCCGGGAGGCAGAGGTTGTAGTTAACCAAGAGCGCAGCACTGCACTTCAGCCTGGGTGACAGAGCCAGACTCCTCAAAACAAAACAAAACAAAACAAAAACACCTTATGGAACGATGTTTCGTGGAACACACAATTTGGGAAACACCAGATAAGATGACATGTATGGCCCTGAAAAATGGGATTCTTCATTAACTGGATAATATATATACTAAGTGAGTGAGACTAAAAACTCACACAGAAATTAAAAGTAACAGTATTAACTTCCTCATTTGAATTTGAGAGCATGTAGAAAGACTGATTATGAGGGTATTTCTTTAAATCCCTTTTCTGCCTGATTTGAAATTTAACAGAAATAACCAAAGTTGAAAGCTGCTTATCAGCTCCTGGCTTACTCTCTCCACTCCATCCTCCCACCCTCAAGGTCAAATCATTGTTAACCGGCGGTTCAGCTTTCCTGGCATTGGGTACTTTTTTGGTTGAACTAGTCCCTTGCTGCCTTTTCCCTAGTGTTTCTTTATGTTGCTGCTGTTCTCATTTAAGAAAATGTATCACGGGACCTATATGCCATTATGCATGGGAAAATGGCAACTCTGCTTCACTGCCAGGAATGCCAGAGTTGCTTTAAGGACAGAAGTAGATGACCTGATACAAGTCAGTGTTTCCTTATTGGATTTTGAGTTTTAGGAACATAACTAATTGTCCTGTCACTGTGCCGATCCCTTAGTTGAGCTTTCATTAGATTAACATCTTCGGAATACCCACCCTCAAAATAATTCCAGGATATGAGAGGGAGGTTAGCATGATGGTTAAGCATGAGGACTCTGAAGACAGATTATCTTAAGTTGGAGGCCCTTTTTGCCCCTGTTTGTTGACTTTGGGTGAAGTTTCTTAATGAGTGGTTAAATGTGATTTAGTTTCATCTTCTACAATACATGGTTAGTAATAATCTCTACCTGTGAAATTAAATGGAGCACTTACAACAGTGTTTGGCATGTAGTAAACACCTGAAAAACGTAGTAGCTATTGGGTTAGTGTCACAGTGAGGTATATGAAATCTTGGAATATATAAAGTTTATTTGTAACATTTACCCTAAGAATGTAACATCATAGGTTTTTGAAAACCCAGTTAACAATCAGGCTTTGGGTTCCTTGCAGAAGACCTGATAAAGTATCTTTTTCCACATGCTTCTTAACAATCTGGAAGATTAGTGAAACTTTGCAATAGTAGAATTTTTTTTTTTACTTTCAAAAAAGTTTTTATTATAGTAAAACACGAAATTTACCATCTTAACCATTTAAGTGTACAGTTCAGTGGCATTAAGTACTACATTCACCTTTCTGTGCAACCACTATCACCATCCAACATCCATCTCCTGTTTTGTTTTATTTTGAGCCTCTCACTCTTCCCAGGCTGGAATGCAATGGCATGATCTTGGCTCACTGCAACCTCCACCTCTCCGGTTCAAGAGATTCTCCAATCTCAGCCTCCCAAGTAGCTGGGACTACAGGCATGCACTACCATGCCTGGCTAATTTTTTTTTTTTTCCCTGTATTTTTAGTCGAGATGGGGTTTCACGATGTTGGCCAGGCTTGTCATTACCTCCTGGCCTCAATTAATCTGCCCACCTCAGCCTCCCAAAGTGCTGGGATAACAGGTGTGAGCCACCACACCTGGCCATCATCTCCTGAACTTTTTCATCTTCCCAAACTGAAACTGGACCCATTAAACAATAACTTCTCATTGCCCCCTTCTCTAGCCCCTGGCAAACACCATTCTGCTCCTAGACTACTTTCAGACTCAGTTTCTTCTTTCACTTAATAAAAGAGAGTGTCCACTGCTGACTAATGGGATTGTTTCTGTATGTGGAGGCCTTCTTGCTAACGTGTTTGAGTTTATTGTAGAGAACAGTAATAGGAAATGGGATTGTACAAAGAAAACTGAGACAAAACTGGATGAGGGTTTCACACTGGGTGTCCCATCCACAGGCCTCAGCAACCCTGCCATGGATCTACCCAATTCTTTTGCATCAAGAAGTTGATCTTGTGAGCCACTTCCATGTTGTAGATCCGCCGACACCTTTTATAGCTTTCCCTCTGTTGCAGGAGGCATGGCTTCTCACACCGCCAATGCTTTATGTCCTCAGTGAACCCATCCATAGTGAGGAGTCTGTTTAGAGTTCTGTATGCACTTTCCACGTTCCCTTCCTGTACCATCACAGTCCTGGCAATGAACTTCAGATATTTTGCCATGACCTTGGACTGAAGTCTTCACTCTGTAGAGCCTGGCACACTCTGTACCTAGCTGACCCATAATAGTAGAATTCTTAAGAGAATGAAATAAACTAAAGGAAGTGAGACAGTTTGTTAGATGATATTTACTTAAAGTAATTTCCACCAAAAGGTAAAATTTCTTCAGTCAAGGGGGGGAAAAAAAAAAAAAACTCCATCTGAGATGTATAGGATAACCTGTAAAAAGAAATGAGAAAGGATATGATATAGTGGAGTTTATATATATATATATATATATTTTTTTTTTCCTTAGAGTCAGAGAAATGCAAATCAAAACCACATTGAGATACCATCTCACACCAGTTAGAATGGCGATCATTAAAAAATCGGGAAACAACAGATGCTGGAGAGGATGTGGAGAAATAGGAACACTTTTACACTGTTGGTGGGAATGTAAATTAATTCAACCATTGTGGAGTTTATATTTTTTTAAATTGTCAATTCCAGGATTAGATAACAAGCTAAATTTGAGCATTTGTTTCCCAGAAGGTGAGGACAAACCACTGAGATCTTTATCTCCTTCACACTCTGTCCCCTGGGGATGGTAACAGCTTGACTGATCAGCAGTCTCGAACTCCCTGACGTCATGGAATTTCTTGGCCTTATTTTTAAACAAATGGATGTGTGTATGTTATATCTTAATAGTTTAGTTAATTTTTTCTTCTAATCTAAAAAAGAGGCCCAATTCCAAGACATGCAAAATGAACTAAAGTAAATGGTGGTGGATTCTAAAAATGAGAACTGAAGCTGCTTAATAGTTCTGTTGAAGGCAGTGGCATAAGAAAGACTTGTATGTTAACTTTTCTTAAAAGAGGCAAAGGACGTTATACTACAGATAAATGAGGTCCCATAGAAAACAAACTTTGCACGTTTTTTCCCTACAAATTCTGCTGTTTTTATCAAGAAATGGATAGGAAGCCATGGGTCTGCAATACAGTAAGTGTGATGCTTAGAATTGACCAAAGCCTTTAATTGGCCACTAAAGAAATCCGTATTAAGGTGGTTGAAATTCTCTCTCTCTCTCTTTTTTTTTTTTTTCCCCCCCTGTTGTTGTTTTGAGACAGAGTCTTACCCTGTCGCCCAGGCTGGAGTGCAGTGTTGCAATCTCAGCTCACTGCAGCCTCTGCCTCCCAGGTTTCAAGCGGTTCTCCTGCCTCAGCCTCCCAAGTAGCTGGCATTACAGGTGAGCACCACCACACCCAGCTAATTTTTGTATTTTTTAGAGATGGGGTTTCATCATGTTGGCCAGGTTATTCTCGAACTCCTGACTTAGTGATCCGCCCACCCCAGCCTCCCAAAGTGCTGGGATTACAGGTGTGAGCACCACGCCTGTCTCGTTTTTTTGTTTTGTTTTGTTTTGTTTTGTTTTTTTGGTCACAATTATGTAGGAAAGATAAAAAGCAGTGTTATTAGCAGCATCTTCAAGAAAAAGGCAGTCATGTAAATACTTTAAGTTCAGAAATAATATGTATTTAAAGCAACTAGAATTTTAGAACAGCTATCTGGGTCAGCCCTAAAATAAACAAGAATTCCAAATTTCAGGAATTTATCTTAGCTGTTCTTCTGCAAGATGATTCTGATAATTGTCTCAGAATAAAAACCACAATTATGTAGCGCTTCCTAATTTGAAAACTTCCACATCAGTTTGGCCACAGAGCACTGTAAAATAGGTACCCTTATTTTATGAAGGAGGCATCTGAGACTTACTTAGATAATCTTAGTGAGCCCTTGCCCAAGGTTACATAGGTAGTTGATTGTGGAAACAGTACTTCCATCCAGATCTTCCGACTACATGGAGTATTGACTGGGGGGGCTGTTAATACTCAGTCCCCTGCTGGCCACTGCAAGTAATGTAGTTGCTTTCTAATTATGGTTATGAAATTAGAAAATCCAATAGTAAGGCCGGGCGTGGTGGCTCAAGCCTGTAATCCCAGCACTTTGGGAGGCCGAGGCGGGTGGATCACGAGGTCGAGAGATCGAGATCATCCTGGTCAACATGGTGAAACCCCGTCTCTACTAAAAATACAAAAAATTAGCTGGGCATGGTGGCGCGTGCCTGTAATCCCAGCTACTTAGGAGGCTGAGGCAGGAGAATTGCCTGAGCCCAGGAGGCGGAGGTTGTGGTGAGCCGAGATCGTGCCATTGCACTCCAGCCTGGGTAACAAGAGCGAAACTCCGTCTCAAAAAAAAAAAAAAGAAAAAAAAGAAAATCCAATAGTAATTCAGAAATAACTCATGTAGTAGAATATCATAGGAAGTTAGCCTGAGAAAAGATTCTATGGCAGTGTTTGGTCTTAATGTAGGCCTTGAAAAATACACACAATTTGGATACTCAACATACACTTAGTATCAGCTGTAAAGAAATCTGTAATGGTAGTTCAGATTTCAAGTTAACTGTAACTCACTTGCTGTGCACACAAGGCAAATCACACCTCCTACTTCACTAATGTTGTAGTATTATATCAGTGTAAAAAAGGCTTTTGCCCTCGGAAAGACAAGACAGTGCAGAGATAGCTATCTAGAAGCCTGGAGAAAGTGGCAAAAACAGAGGAAGGGTTTTAGGTGAAGTGAAAATTTGCCTGGATTATAACCGGTGGGCAAAATTTTGAAGAGTGGAGGGGCTTTTGACCAGTGGAATTGAGCCTTGGTAGGAAGCTGGAACTGCAAAAACTGACATAAGGGTTGCTCATGACTGAGGTGATACAAGCTTTAGGGTGGTAGTGATGACGCTGGTGGCAAGTAAAGGGTAAATCAGTAAATTTAGGACAGAAAGGTGGGCCTTGTTGAATGAAGAAAATAGAGGGAAAGAAAGAAAGTGGCTTCGGTCCACAGAGTAAGAAAAATGAGGTAAAGCATTGCTTCCCAAATACAGCCATGCCATGGTGCCTCCTGAAAACATTTATTTTAATGTGATGGTTGTTTATTTTAATGTGTGAATCAAAACCAAAGTGAGCACAACAAACCTATGATTGCACAGACATTATTTCTTAGAATGAAGATGTTAAGAAATGAGTTGATTTATTAAATATGATGTAAATAATAGTATAAGTGAGTCATGGTAAAGAACATTACGAAGAATGGTAGTTAGCTAATTGAAATTTGGAAAATAGTGATTAAAATTGAGGAGAGGTGGTATGAGGAAAAATTCTGGGATTGTGAAAAAGCCTGTATCTTGATTTCAATGTTGGTTATATGGGTGGATACACATACTAACTGAAGTGTCGACTTAATATGAATTTTATGTTGGGCCTCAATTTAAAAACTTTAAGTAGCTATTGGCTAAAGTTGGGTAAGATGGAAAGAAGAGCAAAATTTGTAGAGCAAAAAGGTACAAAGTTGTTTTTATTTGCTGATCTTATTTGTAGTGGAAATGATAGGTAAATTTATTTACATTCTCTGCTTTCCAAATAATTTTTAAAAGCATGTAGCTAAATCAATATAAAGAAATTGCTTATGAATGTTGAATGTTTTGCTTATGAATATTGCATTTCTTAAGAGATACATGCCTATATACACAAATGTGAAAGAGGTTTAATCATTCAAATGATAGAGTTTTTCCTCTTTTTTTGATATTTCATTCATCAGTTTTTTAAGTATATTCTATATGTGTGATATGCGAATGGTCAGCAGGATGTTAAAGCAATACATTGTTACATGGTCAGAAAATAGTAGTGAAAGTTTAGATATGAGAGAAGTAATTGGGGAAGGTTCAATGTATAGTTTGGGATTTCAGCTGCCACTTGGAAGTATGGAAAGAAATTGGGATCCTGGACAGGTAAGGGAGGAAGAACTTGAGCAAATGATTATAAATAGGAATTTGTACCATATTTGGCTTTAAGGAAATTTTGTTTAGATTGGGCTTAATATCATAAAAATTCTATGTAGTTTAAAATAACTTTAATATGTTTGCTGTGGTGGCCATATATTATTTGTAATCTTAAAAATCTGCTGCTTTTTTTTTTTTTTTTTTTTTTTGAGGCAGCGTCTCACTCTGTTGTCTAGGTTGGAGTGCAGTGGCACTATCATGGCTCATTGCAGCCTTGACCTCCTGGGCTCAGGTGACTCCCACTTTAGCCTCCTGTGTAGCTGGGACTATAAGTGCATGCCACCCATGTCTGGATAATTTTTGTACTTTTTGTAGAGACAAAAGGTTTCACTATATTGCGCAGGCTGGTCTCGAACTCCTGAGCTCAAGCATTCCACCCACCTAGGCCTCCCAAAATGCTGGGAATACAGGTATGACTCACTGTGCCTGGCTAATATTTTTAACCAAGTTGTATCACAGTGTGGATAATTTAATACAACTGCTGTTCTGCAAAACAGCTCAAATAGTTTTTGGTTGTATCTTTTTGAATAGCAAATGTTGTATCATTTGACCAGAAATAACTAAGAGCTATTAATTTATTCATCAATTTTGATGTATCAAAATCAATTATGTTTCATGGTGCCTGGTGTTAATGAGTCTTGAGCAGTTTATGTTCAGTTTTTAGTAAAAGGTGAAAGGTTCATATTACCTGAAGGGAAACCAGAGTGTTATCTTCAGTTTTTAAAGCCTCAGTTTTCTTATCTATGAAACAGGAAGAATGATACCTGTGTTTTAGCGTTTTCGTGAAGATTAAGATAAGAATGTATGCAAAACAGCTTTGATAATCTGGGAAAATGTTTAATTTGTCCATCAGTGTTTTTTTTTAAATAAAGTGTTTATTTTAGAACATTCTAGGTTTACTACGAAGAGAGTATAGAAAATTCTCATACACTCCAGTTTCCCCTATTGTAACATCTTATATTAGTATGATACATTTGTCATATTAGTGAACCAATATTATACATTATTGACTAAACGCCACACTTAAATCAGATTTTCTTAATTTTTGCCTAATGTCCTTTTTTCTGTTCCAGGATCCCATCCAGAATGTCACATTCGCTTTGGTTGTGCTGCTTCTCTTGGCTGTGATAGTTCCTCTGACTTTCCTTGTGTTTTGATGACCTTGATAGTTTTCAGCACTGCTGGTC